GTATTATGATTAAAATAAATACTTTGCTAGAAAAAAGGTCACAATAGAAACGAGTAGCTTCATTTTTTCTTCTTCATTTTGGTTTGTCGTTTGGTAAGAGGCCTATTTTATTGATTCAAGATATCTTGCACATAGAAACATAGACAAAGATAAAAGAATTTTCTAACGAGACCAGATAAAAGCAAACGAAGAATAAAAAAACAATGAAAACAAACAATATATGAAGCAATTCATTTTGAGATCGTATTCATAATCTTTCGTATTTTTCTCTTCTACGAATGACGATCGATCAATAGTGTAATTATTCATGCTTTTTGGACGGATTCTTCGTTTTCATGCCAGATGCACAGAGATTCGTTCGTCACATGTTTTGTCATTATCATTTCGTCAGAAACAAAACTCTTGAAATAAAAAACAAAAACGAACGAACAAAAGATTGAGATAAGAAATCCTTCAAGTCTTCTATAGTGATAACAACAATAAACCAAAAAATAGAAAGTATCAACACGAAAGAAGAAAAAACCAAAATAAAAACTATCCACAGAGAGTAAGAGACGAATTCTGTTTTTGCTCATTCTTTCTTTTCATCACCATCCAACAAGTACTTACATTTTTATCTATTTATTCATTTACGAAAAACACAACGTCATTACTATTATCAACATCATCCAAATGGACAAAAAGCAACATTCAAAATCGACTGCTAGTGGATCTTCTTCATCATCCACAACAAATAAACCAAAGAAAACATCATCATCATCATCATCATCATCAACAGCAGCATCAGTGTCAACGATGGGCAGAAGTGCTGCGCTTCCTCAACCTGCTCGTCGAATTATTCAGAATTTTCTTCTCGTCTGGCTCGATGCCAATATTGACGAGTCAAAGGAAGATTTTCAAAATTCGTTAAAACATTTACGACGAATCGTAGCATCTATTACAACATTCACGGATGCTCAACAATGTTTTGATTTTCTTAGTGGCATTACAAAGGAAAAGGCATTTATGATCGTATCGGGTTCACTTGGACAGAAATTTGCACCAGAAATGGAAGCTATACCACAATTAGAATCCGTGTATGTTTTTTGTGGTAATCAATCTTACCATGAACAATGGGCCAATAAGGTACCGAAGATCAAAGGTGTATATACAAAAATTGAACCAATTTGTAAAGCCCTAGAAATTGATCGACAACGATGTGATCAAGCTATGATCTCGGTTAGTTTTAATGGTCTCGATCCTCTGTTCATGTATACACAATTGTTAAAGGAAGCACTTTTAGAAATCGAAGATGACGATAGAAAATCTCTCAAAGACCTGGCTGA